AGAAAAGTTAAAAAACGAGATGTTAAGAAAAGTTAAAAGATGAGATGTTAAGAAAAGTTAAAAAACGAGATGTTAAGAAATGTTAAAAGATGAGATATTACGAAAAGTTAAAAAACAAGATGTTAAGAAATGTTAAAAGACGAGATGTTAAGAAAAGTTAAAAGAAAAGATTTTAAGAAAAGTTAAAAGACGAGATGTTAAGAAATGTTAAAAGATGAGATGTTAAGAAAAGTTAAAAGAAAAGATGTTAAGAAAAGTTAAAAGACAAGATTTTAAGAAACGTTAAAAGATGAAATGTTAAGAAAAGTTAAAAGATGAGATGTCAAGAAAAGTTAAAAGATGAGATGTTAAGAAAAGTTAAAAGATGAGATGTCAAGAAAAGTTGAAAGATGAGGTGTCTTCCATATAAAATAGTAATTCAATAGTAATTTTATTAATAATTACTCTAGTTACTTATTCTTTTTCCAATAAAAAATCCAAATTATATAATATATTTAAAGAAAATTACACCAAATTAGTTACAAATGCTATCACCTCAACATAAAAAAAATCAAATACAAAAAAAATATTATATATTTAAAGAAAGTCAACGGATATTATAGAACTACTGTGTTTTCGTTAAAATCGACATTAACACATCTTCAAACTGTTTAATAAAAATAAAAGATCATATTTAAAAAATATTACATTAAACCATGCTATTAAATTAAACAATCCAACTGTTCGTTAAACGTTTTATAAAACGTTTATAAAACGTTTATAACGTTTATAAAACGTTTATTAGATAAAAAAGAATCTACTTGTTACCAAAAAAAAGGTAAATTTAATGAAGTTAAAAAATATAATAATTCTTCATATCTTAAACTTCTAAAACCTTAAATTTCATATCTTAAACTTCAGTTGTTTTCATTTGCTATTAATAATTCAAAGCTGCCCTAGGTCAATTCAAAGCTACTCCATACTTGGGCAGCTTTGAACATTTTTATGACATAAAAATGTTCAAAGCTGCCCAAGTATGGAGTAGCTTTGACATACATTTTTGTAGTAGCTTTTTTTGACATACATTTTTGAGTAGCTTTGACATACATTTGACATACATTTTAACATACATTGTATGTTTAAAACGTAAGAATCATTGAGTTTATTTTTAGCTTGAAAATCGTACAAACACTGCTATTTCATTCCTTAATGATTGTTTTAACTCTTTAAAAAAAAAAGTGGCTAAAATGAATAAAATGTTGATTTATAAAAAAAAGTTTAAAAAATGTTTAAAGCTGCCCCCTTCTCCCCTACATAAATAAAACCCAAACTACTTTTCAAAGTAAACTACTTTACACGTCTCAGCATTAAAAGTTACATTTGCAAGTACAAGTCAAAATAACTTTTACATGTAAAAACAATTTTTTTTTTCAAGTAACAGTTATTCATTTAAAAAACTAAACTTAAGTAATTAAGTTTTACATGTTTTATAACTTATTTAAAAAAAATAATATTTTTAAATGTAAGTATATTAAATTTTTTAATACGAGTTATGTAAAGTAATTTACGTTTAAAAGCTATTCGCATTTTTACATCAAAATATGTAAAAGAGCCATCCCTATTATTGAGTCTGTTTTATTATTACTATACTATAAATTTAAGGTAGTTTGCATTAAAATATTTAAATAACGGAATTTTAAGTGATCTAAAAAATATTGATTAAAAATTTTACACGCTTGCGTGGCCTAATGGCTAGCTTGCAGAGTTTTTAAAGCGAAATGCTGTGGTTCGAATTCTATTACTGATTTCTTTTTTTGTGCAACCGTGGCGCAGAGGATAGAGTTTTGACTCGGTTCGTTGTTCGACAACGCACAGTAAGTCAAATTCCATAAAAAACGGCAAAAAAAAACCCATAAAAAACTATTTCTAGAAAATAATTAATTAAATTATAATGTAGCTAAATGCCACTTAAAGACAATAAATAGTTTTTTTGTGAATAATATTTAAGATTTCACCAATTTATACGCCTTTTTCCGAGAATTATTTATATCATTTTATTTATAGAAAAACTCGTTCAAAAAAGTCTCGCTTTAGTGTCACTCTTTGAAGATTGATAAGGATAAAACAGTTCAAAATTTAATTTGAAGTTTAAGATGTTTGGTAACTCTTAACAACAGTTTTGACAATAAATTTTAATTTTACATTTTCATTACTGAGATCTCAAAAATGTGTCATAAATATTTTAAATTAGTTTAACTATGAGTTTAGTTCAAAAACTAAAAGGTTCCACTAGATTCTATGGTAGTTTTAACATTTTCCTATTAATAAGTATATATGAAAGCAAAAAAAATAAAAATAGTTTGCCCAAACTTGCCCCAACTAAAACAATACCTTTAAAATACTTTTTTTTTGCATTTTTTTTTTCCGTTTTTCATTGACATTCGTATTATTTTTTTTTTTTTTGTTATTTAGGTGCTCCAAAAAAACCTATCGGTCTTGTCACAGAGCACCGTGGAAGTGCATTTAACTAGAAAGTTCATGCCTCCTTCCTTACCGTGACGCAAAAATATGTCCAGAGTTCGCTTCGAACCTGGACCTCCTGCTTATAAAGCAAGCGCTCTAACCACTGCGCCACGGCCGTTAAAAGTAGCATATAGTTCATTGCTTAAATTTGTCACACAAATGATACATTTAGGCAGATGGTGCTAACTATCAAACCTCAAAAACCAAAATATGCAAGATTTGATGGCATAGTGCATGTTTTAAAATTAAAACTTGCGTATAAAATAACTAACAATAGTTCATTGCTTACATTCAACATGAAAAGAATACATTTAGTTCCTAAAATTTAAGAGTTAGAAATTAATCGTGATAATTTACTCGAAACTCTTCTACGTGAGTTTTGTAGACTGGAAGGTCTATACTATGAAAGTATGACAAACCTGAAATGATAAATCTTGATAAAAAAATCTAACAATATTTAAATGTATATTCCGATCAATGTTGCGGAAACATTCAAGAACTTTCTCTAGACTTTTAGAACATTAGCAAACTTGGTTGGAAAAAGATGAAACTGTTGAAAAAAAAACTTAGCAGCAGGTCCAAGTAGAAAGTGCTAGAGCTGGGAAGATTTTGGTGGCAGAAGATCAAAGGTAATTATAAATTAATAAAAAATCAACCCAGTTTAAAAAATAGTTTACAAGTTTAAATATTAAGTATTATCTTGCTTAAGGTTGCCAAATCGGCTGAACATCCTGCTGAAGCATTGGCATTAGCTTCAATTAAAAAAACCACTAGAGATCCTAACAAAAAAAACTTCGTTGTTCTTATGAAAAATGCTACAAACTCTGACAAAGCTAAAATCACGGAGATAAATTTTGAGATAAATTTTAAAAGATGAATTTTTAAAAGCCGAAATGAATAGACTAGTCAAGTTTGAAGTAAAGTTAGAAGTAGAGGATTGTAAACTGGATACGACTACTAAGTTCAAACTAGATTTAACCATGTTTGATGGTAAAGTGGTTAATGCCCTCAGTAACACTCTGTCCTCCCAATCATGTAATATTTGCGGATCTAAGCCCAGTGAACTTAATAGCCCAGAATTGATCAGATCTAAACCAACCAATGAAAAAGCTTTATCTTTAGACCTTTCTAATCAGTCTTTCTAATCAGTATTTCAGTAATCAGATCCTTTAAATATATTTTATATTCATAATATAAGTTAGACATAATAAATAAAATACTATGATATAATTTATATTAAAAGATATGTAGTATTATTTTATATTGTATTTTGGATCATTTTTTTATTTAAATCATATTTTGCGCGCGTAAATGACAATTACACGTGTAAACATGCGTTGTACGCGTCATAGGTACGCGTAAAAATTATTTTCAAAAGCAATTTTAAATTTTTGACACAAAATACGATAATATTGATGTACCACATGTTTATATATGATAGTTACATAAATTTTTCCCGTTTTTTCACCTTTCTGACTCAGTGTGTGCCGGCTTCAGCCTGATAAGCGACAAGTAAAGAAGAATTTTCTAGTTAAATGCTCTTCCTCAGTGCTCTATGTTTAGACCGGACATCTAGGAGCACCTTAATAACCACAACAACAACAACGAAAATAAAAAAGAGATCATTAAAAGAGTTTTTAATGTGGCAGAATCCAGTAGCGTACTCATTTTATTGAATAACAAATATGATGACAGTACAGTGTTTTTTATAACATTTTTGATTACGTAATTGTGTTTTTCTCGACAATAGTTTTCGACCAATACTTTTGACAAAAAAAAAAACCATTTAGTAAGTTATTTCACAATTAAAATTAAATAAATTAAAATTCTTTTTATAAATCATTTATAATTATCAACTGTAAAAATCAACTTTAATTTTTTTTTTTTTTTTCATTTTTTTTCATTTTAGTTCACCTCGTTTATTTTAGTTCACCTCCTTAAGGCCGAGAAGGCCACTACAGACGAGGAGGCTACTTATTTGTGGTTATAACCCTCTCTCAACTCTATAACTCCGCGCTCAACTCGTTTCTCCGCTGCGCGGAGAAACGAGTTGAGCGCGGTACTACTAGGGACGTGGTGGGGATCGAACTCGGAACCACTCGCTTATGAACCACTCGCTTTACTCGCTTTACCACTACCGCATTATTGCTGGTATTATTAAATTGCTGTATTTTGTAACTGTTGTTAATAAATATAGTTGTTATAAAATTTTTAAAAAATATATTTAGTCAGTAATTTTCAACATTACCATCAACATATATATATATATATATATATATATATATATATATATATATATATATATATATATATATATATATATATATATATATATATATATATATATATATATATATATATATATATATTTATATATATATATATATATATATATATATGTATATATATATATATATATATATATATATATATATATATATATATATATATATATATATATATATATATATATATATATATATATATATATATCATAGATAACGTGCTGTGATAGCGATTTATGCAATTCTAATTCAATTGACGAAAGTACGAATAACAAGGCTACGAGCATTAGCAACATTTCAAGCCTCATAATGGTTCTCATTGGATTATTTAACATTATAATATTTATTTGTAATTGTTGATATGACTTAAAAAAGTATTTTGATTTTAAAATTAATTTAACTTCAATTGTAGTTTTCAATTTCTTTGCAAACGCAAAAAATATACTACTTTGCACTTTTGAGAAAATCCTGGTTTTAATTCCGGCAAAAACCATAATAGAGTCTGTGCAAGTTTTTTTTTAATAATTTTTTTGCATCAGTATGTTTATATTTTTGCAAAATATAAACATACTTTTTTCTAAATGTTTTAAATAGTTTAAAACTAATATAAACATTTCTTAAAAAACTTTTTAATTTAAAAAATTTCTTTAAGCTTGAGTGTCATATTCATTATCCACTATTTATAAAATCTAGAATGAAAAATAAAGAATTAACTCATTATTATAACAGTTTTTTTCGTAACGTCTTTTAAAAGAATTAAAAAATAAAAAGCAGGTAAAAACAAGGAAGGTAAAGCAATTAACTCGTTTCTATATTACTCCATACTAAACCATAATCGCCGCAACTTAACGAAAATGTTATTCCATACTTTACCATATAAGCTTTTCCATATATTTATTGCAAGACCTTAATCCACGTGGTTAACTGCCTGTTTGCCTAGTGGTAGGTTATCCAGAGCAATGTTAGTTCAATGTATTCGAAATAGAGAAGTTGCAAAAATTGGAAAACGTGGAAATTTGCATAAGTACGAACTGAAATAAGTGCAAAGCAGTTGCAAAAACTGACAAAAGTACAAACTAGCATAATTGCGAACTGGCATTAGTGCGAATCGGCATTTGTGCGCAAAAGAAATTTTATATTTTGGCATAAGTGCGAACTTGTGTAAATGAGAACTGGCAAACGTGCGAATTAGTTGCAAAAACTGGCTATAGTACAAATAGGCATAAATACGAACTTATGACAATAAGTGCTAAGCATAAGTTGGCATAGTTGCGTTAAAAAAATTTCAAAAACTGACATGACAGTGCGCCATAAGATTTTGAAAACATTGGCATACAATTTGCACTTATGTCATTTTGGACATATGCCAATTCGCACTTACGCCAATTTTTAAAATTGGCGCACTTATAACAATCCGCACTAATCACACTAATTATTTTTTAAGCGAAGTATAATATGGACATGCGGCAAAAAACGCTTTTGAAACTCAAAACCTGAACATGTGTTACAACTTTACCAAATACACCATGTTTGAAAATATCATTAAAGAGGATACTTATTTTGAGTTTAAATACTCGAGAAACCAAGAGATTTCTATTATTTACAGTCTGACCCAGATATAAGTTTTTATTTATCTCACGCCATCTTGTATCGCGTTATATATTGTCACGCCATTTTGTATCGCATTATATATTGTCTGATTTATTAAACTTTTTAATGATTTTAATGATCAACATTATGTGAACAAGTATCTTATTCTACGTGCTTGTAAATAACTGTTTTAATTATTTTTATAGACAATAATCAAGAAGGGTTTTAGCTTAGTTACTTTCTTTCTTGTAACCTCGTGTTAAAAATATATTATAACCGTAAAATAACTTTTAGAAACAAAAATTCCATAGTTAAGAAAATCCAGATAAAACCGGTAATAAAGTAACAAAAAGCCGTATATAAAACAATACTTTTAACATACACGCTTATGTTGACTCGGTCAACTAATAATATAACTCATTTAAGCGCCATAAAGTTTTGCCTGAGCTTGCTGCTTGTCTGATCGGCCGTTTACAAATCGACCCTCACGTTTCATCAGGGTATATGAAGTTTTATTTTTAACGGATAATTGGTTTTGTTTAAGTTTATTAAAATAAGACGTTTCAAATCATTTCCAAAAGTTAAATACTGTTATTTTTGTATTATATAGTTCTGTATTATATAGTTTTTATAAAATATAGTTCTTTTTGAAATATCTTCTGGTAGTATATGAATTCCATTCTTCATTTATTATGAATATTTTGTCCAAACATTGAATGGCATAGTGTTAACGCTTCTTCGGTGTCATCCTCACTTATGTAAAATAGTAGGCAGCTGTTTATCACGGAATCGATTTTATATAGGGGAACTTGGGGTAAGATGACGAATGGGGCAAGATGAAAACTTACCGTTATCTTCAAACCTTGGCTATATTTAAAAGCTGATTGTAGCTAAAGTATAAGTAAATTGTATATGCTAAATTTATTTATGCTTTCTTTTTAAATATTATTTAAAAAAAAAAAATTATTAAAGATTTTTTTCCGGTGTTCGGAAAAAAAAAAACTTCACTTGTATTTGATTTATTGCATAATTACATTGCCATCTAAAGGTCAGCGAGAGTTTTTCATCTAGTTTATTTAATTTAGAACCCATAGAAGTATTATTGAGCTATGATACATTGTTTATGTATTTTTCTGAATCATTTTAAAGATTGTGTATCTTAGGGGGCAAGATGAACGGGGCAAGATGACTTATTTGTCGTTTTGTAAAAGTCAATATTTTACTATAAACTGTATAAATGTTGCATAGCCGCTACTAAACTTAGAAAGATTTCAATAAAATAACTTAGAATAATAATTAAAGTTTCTTGAAAGTTAATTGAATTGTTGTTATATTGTGAATAAAATATTATTTAAGAATGTCTAGTTTAGGGTGCTATTTTTGCATAGCTATATATAAATATATAATTAAATTGTTTTGAAAATTAAATCACCCTTTGTATGACTAATTTTATCAACTAAAATTTATATTGCTTTTTTTTTGAGACGGTAACAGTATCTTGGAGTTAACTTTTTTTTGTAGTCGCCATCTTGCCCCGCATATGGGGCAAGATGACTATTCGAGGTGACATATGTTAATGAGTTTTTCTACAGCTAATTTCAATTTGTATAAGGTTTTTTTGATAAAATTGTGGCGAATAATAGTTTGTTATCACTTCTTGATAAAATTTTACTTATTAGAACAGTTATTGACTAAGATACAAGTGTTTTTCAAAACGTTCGTCATCTTGCCCCATGTTCCCCTACTATTGTTTATAATTCTTCTAAATTTATATAGTCATAATTTTTGAACGCTAAGAGATTATGCTATAAAACTTAAAGTTTATCCATAAATATAACTCTAGTTAAAAATTGTAAAAAAAATATTTTATCAATTTGTTGCGCTCACTTTTAGGGCAGGGGGCGCGAAAGTTTCGGGTTTTTGTGTTCCCAGACTCCAACTATCACAATTTTTTTGCAAATCATCCTTATTTGACGCAAGTATAAACATACAAATGTTTGAAGTTTGCTCCATGTCTGAAAGTTAGCTTCTCTCACGTTAGATTCTCACTACGCTACTGGAAGAACATTGTTAACATCTAACAGCCCGGATTTACCTGAATTTCGAATTGACAATTTATATTCATTTCAATCCACTGGTTTAAATTGTGTAGGACTTTTATTTATAAAAATAGTAATAAAGAAATCTGCCAGTAAGGTCTCTGGTTTGCTATTGACATGCGTGTCTATTGACACCTAATATGAAAATATTGGCCTTCATAAGACCTTTTTAAGCGTTTTGCAGCACGAAGACGTTTTCCTGATTTTATTAACTCCGATAATTTTAAAACCTTTATATCTAAAGAAGTCAAAAAATTTATGATGAAAAATAGTGTGCAACAGAAATTTATTCTACCGTCTTCACCCTAGTGGGGCAGCTTTTAGGAACGTTCAGTCAGATCTTTTAAAATTACAAAAAAAAAAAAAACTCAAAGAGCCTTTTTTTTATTGTAAAACGCTTGCAAACGCTTAAAAGGTCTTATGAAGGCCGATATTTTCATATTAGGTGTCAATAGACGCGCATGTCAATAGCAAAACAGAGATCTTACTGGCAGATTTCTTTATTACTATTTTTATAAATAAAAGTCCTACACAATTTAATTAGTGAGAATTTTTCGGTGTTTGAGATAGCTAACTTCCAGAAATGGAGCAAATTTCAAACATTTGTACGTTTATACTTACGTCAAATAAAGATGGTATTCAAAAAATTGCGATGATTGGAGTCTGGGAACAAAAAAGCCCGAAACTTTCGCGCCCCCTGTCCTAAGCGTGAGCGCAACAAACTGATAAAATATTTTTTTTACTATTCTTAACTAGAGTTATATTTATGGATAAACTTTAAGTTTTATAGCATAATCTCTTAGCGTTCAAAAATTATGACAATATAAATTTTGTGACCCCCTCAAACTGAAGGGGATACAAACTTTCTAAGGTCACTGTTTTTGAACGTTGGGTAATTATTTTATGAAACTTAAAGTTTATCGATGAATATAAGTCTAGTTGAGAATAGTAAAAAAAAATATTTATCAACTTGTTGCTCTTACATTTAGGGCAGGGGACGCAAAAGTTTCGGGCTTTTTTGTTCTCAAGCTCGAATCATCGCAATTTTTTTGCAAATCATTCTTATTTGACGTCAGTATAAACATTTAAATGTTTATACTTACGTTAAATAAGGATGGTTAATAAACATACAAATCTCAAACACCAAAAAATCCTCGCTACGCGACTGTGTTCTTCCTTGGAACTTTTTGCATATTACACATTGTCTGATAATACTTTTTATCGTCAATCTTCCTTTTTTTTTATCCAGAACTAGGATCGTAATTTATTCAGCGTCAATTCAATTCCATGATGTAAAACTTGTTCATGATAGTTACAAATGAGTAATATTGTGAACTAACTTTCTTTACCACGTAATATTAAAGGATGCTTTTCTGTAAAGTTAAAGTTAGCATTTTTAAGGCTTCCTTGTAATCGTATTATTTTGTCTTCATCATCAAATAACTTTGACGAAATTTTTATCTTATTAATTTTACCTATTAAGTACTGGTAATTATTTTTTCAAATGAACTAAATCTACGTTCATTAATAACACTACTCAAACTTAATGATGAGTTTAAAACGACGTTACAAACAATAACATTTTCTGAGAAAATTTTTCTCCTCTTTTATACTTAGGCATAATATCATCCTGAAACTTGCTATCAACTTTAAATTCATTAATTTTTTTATTTATATTTAACAAAAATTCTGGTCCTTTCAATTAACTTCC